CTGAAAGAACTGAAAATCAAGTTTTGTTAAATATTCAAATGGTTGCTGACAAACTCTTTCAAATGTTACAAAATGCTGACAATTACTTTTTTCATGCAAATTTCACTGAATGGCTCAGTTCCTCGTAATCACCACTTTATACTCTATCTTCCAAATTATTCTTATTTTTGATCCATTATTAACCTTCTAAAAATGCTGTTGGGGCTTGTATATTTGTGTATATTTAGTTTTCTGATTAGGAAACCTGAATCCAATTATGGTAGTACAAACGGACTGTGGTTTTGTTTCGTAGACAGCAAATCTTTTTTTGCTGATTGACCTGTGCAGTTATTGTTTGCTTTGCCACATCCTTTGTCATCAATGAGACTCTCTCAATCACCAGGATTAAAGGTAGAGGTAAAAAGAGAAGAACATGCTATATAAAGAGAAGTGCATTTTAAAAAGTTAGAATGCCATAAGTTTTACCTATTAGATCTATGACCAAATCCAGAGCCTATTTCACTGTATGCAAAAAGATATTTTGGAACCTATTCTGTGGTAATTTTTTTGTAAATCATATATCACATTGGAACTTGATTAAACTATTGTTAAATTTTAACTTTGCAGATAATTAACATAACCTGCATTCTGAAGAATTGCTTTTGTCATTAATTATCTAATGAACTACCAATATTAGTAATGTGAAAATATTTTTTTTTAAATTGCTATTTTGCAACAAGCCTGGATTACATGTACACATACATACTTTTTTTTCTAAGATTGTTATAAGACAGACTGTTGAAAACATATTTTATCCCAATCAGTGTGTAAAAATAAAATTATCCATAATCACACCATGTTCCTCTATCATACATATCATACTGTTTAGCTGTAATGATCCCCACACACTACACTCACACATCAATTATGATAATCATAATAACGGTCGTTAAGCTCAATGTTCATTATTATCTGGATGCTGGTGACAGCAGATTCAATCATTGGATGCAATGGGCGGGCAGGCATAGTCCCACCTAAGTTTCTGCAGACTGCGATGTGCCACATTAAGCCTGTGATGTCTTCCACATCCCACTTCATTTCAAAAGCTGCAGATGGTAAAGGTCAACCTTATGTTCTGTGCAATAAGCTTAGGTTCTCTAAATTAATTTGTTTGGAGTACTGGCTATTTTTATACTTTGTAGTATACTAAAATTCTATCTGAAAAAAAATATACAGGAACAAATGCTGAGAGCTGGCTAAGTCACCAAAAAGAAGGTATATGACATAAAGCACTATTGACAGTAAGATCTTAAATACCACTTCTTTATTTTGGGAGAAAAGGAACATCTCTAAAGTTGCTGCCATTAGCAAGTTATTGGTCTAAAATCTTTATAGAAGTTTCCTTCTTTGTATTAAAGGCTGTGGACTATCATTTCATTTTGATGGATATGAAATTGTAAGCATTTTGACAAGTGGAAGATTACTTAATAGTTCTTATCCCTTAATACTTCATCACAAAACCATTGTTGATTACATTTTTGGTGCCTAATGCATTCTCATTTTGAAAATTTCATACTTCCTGTAAATGTATTATTAATCATTTGGGATTTTCAACCTAAACCAATATACAGATTAGAATATAACTTCCTTTATATTGTGCTTGTCTCTGGATTTTTAAATGAAGTTCTCAGCTCAAAGTCACATCCAAAATTTGTATGTATACTTGTAAAATTTAAAACTACAGAACACTGCACACCGGGACAACTAGACACAAGGTCAGTTTTTCCCTGAACACCATCACTCTGCTAAACAAATAATTCCCTCAACACTGTCCAATTATTTATAAAGTCCAATTATTATTACTATTAATCTTCTCATCACTCCTTATCACCCATCCCCTCCCACCTGTGACTGTATGTAACTTTGTTGCTTGTATCCTACTGATTTTTATTGACTCCATTTCCTAGAATGATTTGATTGCTTATTGTACCCTATGATTATTATTAAGTGTTGTACTCAAGTGTTCTTGATTCTTGACAAATGTATCTTTTCTTTTATGTACACTGAGAGCATTTGCACCAAGACAAATTTCTTGTGTGTCCAATCACACTTGGCCAATAAAGAATTCTAATTCTAATTCCATTCTATTATATTCTATTCTAAATATTGTACATTATATAATATTATATAATAATGTAAAATTGATGGATATTTTGCATCAAAATAAATGCACACTTTTCTATTTTAAACAAAGATTGCAAAATCATATAGAAATTTTATGAAGACATGTAACTGAATATATGGAGATACAGCACTAAGTCTGATTCAAGAAACTTTCTCTAAACAATGCACTTTAATATAAGCAAACATTGCAATGTATCAATGGCTTATTCTTGTCACAATTCTTTTTGCAGGCATTTACCCTTGATAGCTTTTTACCAATTTACCCTTTGCACCTTTGATTTAAACCTAGATTTAAACCTTCAAATTCTTGAAGAGGGAAAACCTTCAAATTCTTGAAGAGGGAAAACTGAATCTGCAGTTGCTACCATTTTGGCAGGAATCGCTGCGGGTAAGCACAACCCATTGTTTTAATTTTTAGCTTTTCTATTTAATTCTTCTAACTTTAATTGTTTTATAATACTTTTTAATTTTTATTAGAGTGTAAGATCTCCAGAGTCAATGTATGTGAGAGTGGCAGCACATTAAATAAAATGAATAAATAAATAAAATAAGTATATGTTGAATATTTATGTACTATTTGTTTAATAAGGAAGAGAGCCATCATTTAGCATCTTCTGTTGTATTTTTGTGAAAAAACAATCCATTGAACCAAAAGCCATTGCTTGTTTTGGTTCAATGGCAAAGATGGATCAGTAAACAATAGTAAAGTTTTTCTCAAGTTGAGTCTGCATTACAGTTACCCATCTGGGAAGTGACTAGGGTATGAATGACTGTGAGTAGAACCTCTCGATCTAGAAGCGGGTGTTCTGACCCAAACCCTTTTCCAATAAAACAAACACGTATCAAAGGGAACATAAATCTTTTAATGATTCTTACGAATCCCCAGTAAAAGGCTGCTGCAACTAATTAAATTTGACAAGCACAAGCCTCGCCAAAACTATGTGAGGCTACCAAGAATAACAGATAAGAAATATTTTACAACACAAGAGTCTTCAAATACCAACTTAAGATACTGCAATGTCCACAAGGCTGGAGTTTCAAAACGTTTTTGCTTCCTACAAAGAACGTTCACTTCACAGCTGGCTTTTATCTTCTTGAAGGAGGGGCCATTACCTTGCAGCCTTACTCCCGAGTCACCCATGCTGCTGCAGCTGCTCTTTCCTGTGAGCAGCCCTGTGTGCACGCGCACTTGGCACAGGCTCCTCAGGAACCTCCTCATCACTGCTGCCAGCCCCCACAATCTCTGAAGGCAGTAGTCCACTCCCTAATGGTCCTGGCCCCTCATCTGAGTCCTCGCTCTCCTCAGCCGTCCGCACCTGCTGCCAGCTAACCACAACAGCAGGTGCAAATGGTGGACCACCTGAAGCTGTGCAAAGAGCCTTTGGCTATGACTGCTAGCTGCCTTTTGAACAGGAGATGAGAGTTCAGAAGAACCCTCAAATTGCTCATTGGGTCTATTTGGGGTAATTCAACCCATTCAGAACCAAAGATGATAAATCTCCAGATATAAAAGGTTCCCAAACCCAAAGCCACTCAATCTTACTAGGGTTTAGTTGAAGCGTGTTTTCCCCATTCAGACCACTATAGCCTCCAAGCATTGAGAAAGGATATCATTTAACTCAGAAGTAGCAGAGATATAGAACTGGGTGTCATCGTCATTTTGATGATTCCTCACCTCATGGTCAGGATCTCACATATTGACTTCATATAAATATTAAACAGGACCAAAGAAAGTACTGAATTCTGCAGCTTCCCACGTAGCAGAAGCAGAAAGCCGGACTTCTCACTCCCAACCAATATAAATTGAAACCCTCAGATAATAGAAAACTGTGACCCCTGTCTTCAACTCCCAGAGCCAGCTCAAAAGTATACCATGGAAAGGAAAAGAACAAGCTCCATATTGTGTCACCAACGTCCAACTACCAAAGCCAGTGAAAAAAATATACCTGGATTGATGGCATCAAAAGCGGCTAAGAGATCAAGTAGAATAAGGATAGATGCACAATGTCCATCCCATTCCCACCAGAAATTACCCAAAAGTGTAACCATGCCTTAATCTGGACTGAAAGGAATCCAGAAAGACCACTTTATCCAGGGGCCTCTGAAGCTGCTGCAGAATCTTCATGAAATAGGCCTTAATAGTTGCTATCACTCATATGGAGTTTGTTCCTCGTTGGTTTCCAATAGCATTCTAGGCATTTCTTCACCCATTTCACCAAGGAGAGTGAAATGAGTGCAATCCATTCCATGGCTTTAGCTGTCCTCTTGTGCCCTCAAGCGACAACCAGGACCTCAACTGGATCATCAGGAATAATCCCTAGCTAGCTCTGAAACCCATTTGGTCCCTCAGTCACTGGGGACACACTGATCAAAGAGCTATCACCTCTCTGATAGTGCCAGAAAATTTCATGGCCACCAGGAAGTGACAAAGGAGTCAAAAAACCTTCATCACTTCCAGATCACATCTCCACTGTTCTGAGAGGAAGATATCAAGTGTGTGACTACTCTCCTATGCAGGGCCTTGGATGGCCTGGGATAAGCCCAGGGTTGTCGTGGGAACCATGAACTCCTGAGCTAACTCAATCCCAACTCCCAGAGAAGGCAGATTGAAGTCCCTAGGACCATAAATCTGGGGAATTTCTCTACTACCTATAAGAGTCTACTGTCTACTGTTCTACTGTGAAATCTATTTTTTAAAATCTGTTGAAGACATACACATATGATCATTACAGCACAGGAGGTAAGACTAGTTCCACATTCAACTCCTCCCTGACCTTCCTTGCTTTGGCTAGCCTTAAGAAGTTGTATCTTCTCCTTGGTTATCCAATACAGCTCACCTTCTTTGTTATCCATTTCTCTGGGTGTTCTTCCCGGAAATACTTGAATCCATACTTTGACTGACCATATTTGCTTGCTCTCTGCATGGATGGAATATATTCACCTGGCACATTATATGAAAATGGCATAAACCTGAAAAGTAAAACATTATATATAATTATTTTTCACCTTACCTTACTAATCAGAAAGCATGTATATTAACAATAAGAAAAATGTATTAAAAATAACTTTTTTCTGTCTTCATTATGGATGTTGCTTTATAGTGCTCTACTAATATACCCAACAGTTGTAGTAGTACATTTGCAAACAATACTCTAATAGTACCATTATGCTATACTACAATAGTATAAACATTAATCACAGAGCACACAATACAATTAAGTATTAAATTATGCTCAAGTGCCAATCCTCAGAAGAGAAAAATGAATATATATTTTCATATAAGGAGTGCATCTGTCCTTATGACTATGGTGATTCTCAGTCATCCAGGTCATGGTTGTCTCAAAGGTGTATTTTCAAAAGGCAACTAGACTTTCTTTGTTTTTCCTTGAAGACATTTTGCTTCTCCTCCAAAAAGCTTCTTCAGTTCTGACTGAATGGTGGAGAATGGAAGGATTTATATTCTTTGCAATCATCTGGTTGTTAGCACTCTTCCTGAGAGTTGTTGAGGCTACTTGGAGGTTTCTCTGTGCCTTCACGATCACTTGAATAGTGCAAATGGATATGGAACCTTCTTGGAATTGCTGAAAGGACTATGTCATTTAATCTCATTTTGTTTTCTAAGTTTTTTGTTTTTTTGCTATATTGATAAATTCTTTCATTACTTCCTGCTTGGACTTTTGCGGCATATTTGGAGTTGCCCTTCAAAATGTTCAGAAACTACAGCTGTTTCAAAATATTGCTGCCAAAGTGCTCACTATATGACTCCTTTATTGCTCCAATAAATAATTACTTTTAGAGCTCTAAACAGTTTGGGATCAAGATGCCTAAAGGATCACCTCCATCTGTAGAAGTGCACCTGCACTTTAAGAGGCCATGCCCATTATTTCATCCAGGTCATGACATTTCTTTCCCTCAGAGATTAATCTAGAATTTTCTCTACTATTAGTTAGTTAGTTTAGTAGGTGTTTGTACGTCTTTCCATTAACAGTACTGAAAATAAAAAAGAAGATTCTCTGTTTATTCAGAGGAAGGAGGAAAGGAGAATGAGAAGAATAAAAGCAAGCAAGCAAGCAAGCAATTTAATAAAATAAAACCAGAAACTCAGGTTGTGAGAAGTAGCAGCCAGCAAAAAAAAAAAAAAAAAAAAGGCGGGGTGGGGGAGGCATGAAAATGAAAAGCTGTCCTAAGCAGATACAAAAACTTGAAGGGGTGGGGGGAGATTTGAAAACATAGGCAATAAAGGGAAAGCAAGCAGAAATTAATGGGAGCATGAGATAATGATGGAAATGGAATAAAGGAGAAGGTAGGTATCCCCAAGTTTGGGCAGCATAAAGCAAAGGGAATTGAATCACATTACAGATAGTCCTCAACTTACAACCACAACTGAGCCCAACATTTCTGTTGTTAAGTGAAACATTTGTTATGTGAATTTTACCCCATTTTACAAACGTTCTTTCCATGGTTGTTAAGTGAATCACTGCAATTATTACATTAGTAACACGGTCGTTAAGTGAGTCTGGCTTTCCTATTGACTATGCTTGTCAGAAGGTCGCAAAAGGTGATCACATGACATTGGGACACTGCAACTGTTATAAATATGGGTCAGTTGCTAAGTGGCTGAATTTTGATCACGTGACCATGGGGATGTTGCAATGGTCGTAAATGTGAAAAAATGGTCATAAGTCACTTTTTTCAGTCATATTGTAACTTTGTACGGTCACTAAATGAAGTGTTGTAAGTTGAGAACTACCTGTACTTTGACAGAGGTCTCTGTAAGGTGGAGAGTACCAGCAACTTTTATAAACAGTAGAATCAGTAGAGAAGAATTTTGGAAACTATTCTAGTATCCTAGGTAAGGATATAATCAGTTACTTAGCACAGAAATTACTGAGGAAGAGCTAATCTATAACCTCTGATGCTTATTTATTTAAATATTTTCAACATTCACATCATTGATTTATGATGGAACACAATGAATAGAGAGATTCAAGAACAAATAAAACACAATAAATCAAATCAAACAAAAACTAATTGTATCTTCAGGTTTATATAGACAGGCAGGTCTTAACGAAGTGCTGAAATGTGGCAAATCTTGAATCACTGAAGGAAGAATATCTGACAATTAGGCTGCCAAAGCAGAGAAGGCCTTATATTCCATCTCCCCATGATGAAATAATGCAGAGAGACCTTTCAGCAGCACTTTATACCTTTGGCAGGTATAAAACAACAAGAATTGCTGAAATGTAAATGATTGAATTTTTACTTTTTTACTCAACACTTATAGCAGAGCAGAAACCATTGTCCTTTGGTGCAACTGTTTCAGTACGACTGTTTTGTATATCACTTCTGAACAAATCTAACTGCTACATTATAGTATATAATGTATGGGTTGTTATAACTAATGGGTTGTTATAACTCTTCATCTTTGGCTCAAGGGCTGTGCCACACAGTGCATCTTCCACATTGCATCTCTAAATTTCGCTGAATTGGAATAACTCAGGTGAGTTTTTAAATTCTTCCTATATAAATATTTAAAATGTTATTTTCTGAGAGGTTATGTAGAAAAGTGTGGAAAAGGGGGGAAATTGAGGACAGTTATATTTTCTGAAGCATTAACAATATTACAATATATTTGCTGTGTATTACTATTGTAATGTCAATTAAAAAGCCTGCTTATTTTAAAATAGCCTCTTATTTTAATAAACTTACTGAATTTTATGTAAAAATTCTCTGTTGAAAAAAATTAATATTTTATCAGCTGTAAATTACATCAATAAACCTTCCTTGTGGAGAAACAAATTGGTCTTTATTAGCATCTGGCCAGTCAAATTGCCCATAAAGCCTTCTAAACCAAGGGCTCTTGAAAATTAACAAAACAATAGCACAGAAGAAGCAGAGCTTTAAATTATACAAAGCTACAGAAGCATGTATATACTCATGGGACAGGTGGCTCTCATAGAAGACAGATTATAGCACTTCCAGGGCTAATTTGCACTTGGGATGGACATCACACACACAAAAAATTAATGTGGCTCCAATGTCCCTGAGAATACATAGGAGGTACAGAAAGCCGGCTGCTCCACTTAGAGTTTTTATCACTTCTGAATTGCATTTTAATAGTACATTTTTCTTCAGTTCAGACATTAAAGAAAATTGGCTCTCTCTAGGGATTGGATGACAACTGAAATGACAAGGCTAGTACTTAGGAATTTGCCTATGGAAGCATGGAATTTAAGTAGTCTAAATATTCAGAAGTTTTGCTTTTTATGATAAGGTGCACATTGTTGCAAACCATCAATGACAATGTTACTTAGTTACTGTAAAAACATGTACTTTACAATAGAAAAGTAGAAACATATACTTTTCCATTATTTCTAGGACTACAGACACTGCTACTAGAAATTAAACTTAAATTTATATTCCCAGGAAGCATTTTATAATAAAATAAACATTGAGAATAGCCAAGATCAAAAAGCGATACTGAAAATACTTTTGGAAAATGAATGAATGATCCAAATGAATGTATATTAAAACCTATAACGAAATGGCTTTCACTAAAGTTTGAACATGAAATCGCCGAAGCAATGGGGAGCCACACTGAATTTAAATGATTTTGAATAGTTATACAGAACCAGATTTTCCTGTTTAGATTTTGAATCAGAATGCTGCATACTTTAACATAAAATTAATCTGAACAAATTTAAGATTTTGTGCTTCTAGAAAAGTTGTTTCTTAAATAAGTGTAAAAAGACAAGGTGTTTTATTTAATGGTTCTTGGATGGGAATTATATTCTTACAGGATGTGAATTTGTGTTTGGTAAAACCAAACTTCACCTATATTCAGGTGAAGGATATTGCAATGCTATAATAGCTGCTGAGCTTGCTACATGCACTACATTGTAAAGTGTTCAGATTTTCTGAAATAATGTATAAAGTACTCAATATCAAATTGTAAGGGAGCAAAGCAACATTTTATGTAAAAGGTTGCACACATCTGATGAAAACCACAAATCTCCACATAGTAAGTTAGTTGAGAACATTTGGTTAAAAAATAAAAACAGAAGGAAATATTACTGATATCATTGTGGAGATCTGTTTCAGGCTACTGAGACAGGTGGAAAACTTAAATAACACCTTGCAGTGTCCACTGCCTTCTGTAATGACACAAAAATGACAACATGCACACTGTAAATACCATTACATACTTCCATCTTAATATCTGACATAATGTGTGGTGGTGTTTTAATTTTCCCTCTCCTACCTGAATATATCTACCATTCTACATTCAAATTATCCAGGAGAAATTTGGAGGGATGAAGAAATTTCAATAATTTTAGTATTTTTCGACAGACAATTTCTACCAATAATAAATAGCTTCATATATTCCAGATTTAGTTTGACATTCATGTAGAGGAAGTCATCAAATTAATTGACAGTAACACACAACAGGATAGAACAGCCAGATTTAGAATAGTCTTGGCAAGCTGGAAAAGTAAGTCCAAGCCAACAAAATATATTTCATGAATTCATTTTAAATTGGAAGAATAAGCTGCATAAATATAATATTCATCTGTAAAGAGCCAAGGAGATGGCCTTGAAAGAAATATTCAGAATCCATTACATAATCACAATGGACACAAAACATTCCTTAAGTCCTGGGAAGGGAGACAGCATTGAGACTTTGGATGATTCCCCTCTTTATTTTCTGGAGTATAAGAGGAAGGGTAGGAAAAACACCAGGAGATTTTCAACCATACTTCTACTGCAGCTGATATCAATAAAGTATAATTCTAGTATTCCTGAGGAGCCAATTTCCTGGCCTGAACTACCTAGTAGAACAAGGGTGTCAAACTCGCATCATCACGACTGTATCACATGACTTATTGTGACTTTTTCCCCTTCACTAAACTGGGCGTGGCCAGTGCATGAGACATCTGGTCCACAAGTTTGACAGCCCTGTTTTAGAGCTCACTTAATGAAAACTAATGATCTAAATAGGAGTCAGATTTGCAATACAGTATGTAAAAATCTGGTGATTCTAGATGAGAAGAACAGAGGCCTAGCATTCCGATCATCATTTATACTTTTTGTTATGTTTACATCAGGTCTTATATGCTATCCTGACACTGCTATTTAAGGGTATACTATCCTATCATTGCTGTTGAAGGCTATTAACACACATAGATGTGGATATAAGGATGAGTGAAGATGTATTATTAGAGTTGAAGATATTTATATTTTTATTGAGGTTAGGAAAGATTAAGAGTTGATAACGTAGTCATTATCAAATATTTGGAGGATTTTCAAACATATGAAGAAGAAAATTTAATTCAGGGAATTCAAACCAATGAGATTACATTATAATAGAAACTATTTCTGCCAAAGATTAAAAGACAAGTTAAAATGATAGAAAATTCTGGTTATATAACATTTACATTATTGCCCAGTTATCAGTTTTTAACATTGCATACTTCTCATTTTCTGATATTAAACTAAAAATCATGAGGCTGTTTGATTGTAATACCAGTTTACAGGAGAAGCAAACGTTTCAGATAAAATGCAGCTTAGTTCTATCTAATCAAAAATAACAGAGACCTCTTAATTGCAGACAGTTCTAGAGTTCTTTAATTATAGAGAGGCTTATTATCTGCATCCCCAGTGTTATAAAATACCAGAACTTCATTAGAAAAATTAAGGTGGAAAAATGAAGGCACTACTTTGTATATTTCCAGTGGAAATTAGCTAGAAGATGCAAAGGAATACTGGATCAAAAGAGGGTAATCATGCTTAACTGTGCCCTAGAGCACCAGCATTTATAATACGATTTGCTCAGTAACTACCATTCCTATTACTGCTTGTATGGGGTATTCTGTGTTAATGGGGTTAGCTGATTTAGTATTGTAACTTAAAAAGGCTCTGCTGATTAATAAATGTCACACACTGTGCTAGTAATTAAAGTAAATGGAAGAGTTACAAACAGAATGTTGAATGGTTAAAGCATTATCTGAAATATATGATAATCCCTATTTATAGGAGTAGTCCAGAAAATATTCAAATTGCTAAAGTTAGAAAGCATCTTAAAAGCTAGGCATCATTTGCAAAAATACCCTGATATGTGAGATTGGTTCAACATAGTATTCAGTGTTGTTGTTGTTTTTACACATTCCCTTTGCTCTTCACTCCTGTAAACACAAAGCTAAAATCTCAAATAATTTGTGCAAGGGAGAATAATACATACTTGGAAATATCTCATACTACATAAAAACAATATGGGCAAATAACTTTTGGATAAATGGTTCTCAAAAACTGATATAGGTAAAATACACAATATTTTGACATGATCTATTTTGAATAGAATAGAATAAAATAGAATAGAATAGAATAGTTTATTGGCCAAGTGTGATTGGACACACAAGGAATTTGTCTTGGTGTAAATACTCTCAGTATACATAAAGAAAAGGTACATTTGTTAAGAATCAAGAATCATAACGTACAACACTTAATGATAGTCATAGGGTACAATCAACAATCAAATCATACTAGGAAACAGTCAATATAAATCGTAAGGATACAAGCAACAAAGTTACAGTCCTACATCCACAAGTGGGAGGGGATGGGTGATAATTTTGCAAGATTAATGGATCAAATACAGGTTATTGTTATTTCATATTCCTTCCCTGCTCCTAAGTAAGTCCAGTGATAGATCTGGTCTCCAATCAACTGGAAGTCGTAATTAGTACTATCAAAACAGGCCAGGCCTACCATTATTAAGAGGCAGATGCATTATTTGTTCTTCTACCTGAGTAACTAAACATTTGAAGTTGTTCTGATGCATACCCACATGGGTTGAAACATTTGGCTGTGCTAACTATCTTTGAAACGTTTGCTACCGCAAAATCTTATGGTAACTAAAAACAGAATTAATCCTTCAGATGCAGCCCTAAAGAAAGAATGAGGCACAGTTCCAGTTAAATCCATATTAGACTAGAAATGAAATTTTCATATCTAAGGGTTAATAATGTCTTTCTGAACATCTTATTTTGAAAGATCCATTATACAGTACGTCTACGATAAAATTCACTTAATAACCTAAGACAGGGGTGGGATTCCACTGGTATAACAACCAGTTTGGTGACTGCATGCTTTGCGAGTGCTCTGCATTTTAAAAAGCTCTAATACTTACCTTGTACTGCAGTCCCTGTGAATAAAACAGTTGAGGCGCGGCAAACCACTCTGCCGTGTGAATCAGCTGTGCTCTAACAAAAGGAAATAAAGCACAGGACAGAACAGTGGTGGGTGGGTGGGCCCACATGCTCGTCGCAGCAAACTGGTTTGCTGCCAGCTAATCTTTGGAGCAAGGGGTTTGCCCAAACCAGTCTGAACCAGTAGAATCCCACCCCTGACCTAAAATATTCTGAATGTTAAAATGATATCATGAAATGTTAAAACAAAGGGAGCATGAAATGTTAAAACAAAGGGAAGTGTTCCTATGTGAACAATGGAGTTATACAGCACATGACTGGGTCTATGCAGAAGATAAATGGGATATTTAAGTTACAAACAGGCTTAGATGAACAATGTTTATATAAAGACATCTATATTAAGAAACTTAGCTTAGTTTTAATTTTTTTAATGAATAATTGCTCAATTTCCAATCCTGAACAATTTCCCAACAACACTTTCTTAAATATCACCTGTTAATGTGCATGCTTCTTATAATACAAATGAATATATAAACTGAGTGAGGTTATGGGCTGATACTGAAAGCTTTGTTGGAGTTGCTGACAGAGTAATTTCTCAGGAATATTTAATTTATTCGATCATGCTTAATGCTGTAAAAGAATTTGTCGATTAAAGAAACTACTTGGTATTTTTAAATTTATGCACATAATTGGAGTTTTCTAAGATATTTCCTATATTTACATTGTGAGTTATCTATAGCCTGTTGAATGGGTCACATGCAATCAATCAATCAATCAATCAATCAATCAGAATACTACATAATAATAATCCAACCAATGAATCAATCTGTTTAAAAAACACAGATTTTGTCTGTATTCATTCCAAATAAACTGAACAAGTTTAAAGTATAATAAATAAAACAGAAAAGATAAGTCACATACTTTTCATCCTGTATACGGTTTCGCCATTCTTCTTGTCTTTGTTTTTCTTGGGCAAGTTGAAATGAACTACTTGAGGCTACCACCTGCACAGATGGTTCCAAGGGTTTGAACCGTTGCTGGAGTACATCAACAGTATCACGGAAAGGTCCCTGAGGGTTTCAAGTGAAATATTTATTTTTGCCTTCTTTTATTTTGGAGGAGCTTAGATTGTATACAGAGAAGAAATAATGTTTGCAATTAATAACTTCATTTTAGAAATCTCCATCCAACATCTGAAATTAAGACTACCATGAAAGATTAACCTTGTAGATGCTGATAATTTCTAGAAAGAGAATCATGAGATTCTTTTAAAATAAAAATAATAATGTCCCAAAGTGCGGGGTGAATCTTGTTGCTGAGTCTGAGGTGAACTGTGTAGAGATCTTTGTTGGTTTGACTCAGCAACAAGATTCACCCCGCATTTTGGGACAAATCCAAACAACTCGCTGTCTGGAGAGCCGAAACACAGACCACCCTCAAGACAGACACACACACCAACAAACTCAGAAAACTACAAAAACGCCAGAAACAAACTCCTCCACCCTCACAGCCACACATGAAACAAACAGTGCACAACATCTCAGACAAGATCCTCACCGAAGCCGAAACCAATGTCCTTTCAAAAGGATTCAACTTTACTGTCGCTCCCAAACACATCCCCACAGAAACCATTATATGTGGAGTTGAAACCAGCCTGACCAAAACCAACCCTGATGATGCTAACAGAATCAGACTCAAAATCACCAACATCCTCTGCACCAGCAAACCACCCAAAAGCAACTTATCCAAAGAAGAACAAACTGCACTACTTAACCTGAAAGAAGACACCAGCATAATAATCCTACCAGCAGACAAGGGCAATGCGACAGTGGTTATGAACACATCTGACTACCAAACCAAGTTAACCAAGTTAACCAACCTACTCCAAGACCTCACATACAAACTTCACACCCTCACTAACGTATTAATTTCCAACGGATTCCAAAGAAACACTATCACCAATCTAATCCGAAAAGAGATAACCCCCAAAAAACCAAGACACAGAACAAGACAACAGTATCGCACTCCTCCCCTACATCAAAGGCACCACAGACAAAATCAGCAAAATTCTCCACAAACACAATATCAGGACAGCCTTCGGCACTGACCAAAAATAGCCAACATCCTAAGAAATCCCAAAGACAAGATCCAGCTAGAAAACCAAGGAGTTTATGAAATACCATGCAACAATTGCCCAGCCACATACATTGGACAAACCAACAGGAGAATAAATGCACGCATCGCAGAACACAAAAACTCAGTCAGAAGAGAAGAAAATACTTCCTCCCTCTTCCAGCACCTTAAAGCCACAGGACATGAAATTAATTTCGAAGGAACCAAATTAATATTCAACACTGAACACTCCAGCAAGAGAATAATCAGGGAAGCCATCGAGATAGAGAAACACCCCCATAACATGAATAGATGGGATGATACCTCCCGCCTACCAGACATCTGGAAGCTAGCCCTCACCAACAAACGAGTCCCAGCCACGAAAACCAACACCAGACCCAAAACAACACGGGACACCACTGCCAACCCCCCTCATCAGACCCAGGCCCAAGCCCATCCTATAAACGAAGGACAACCAGCATCCAGAAAACAGACCATGGCTGCTTCGCCAGCTGTCGCACCCCCCGACCCCAAAACCAAACAAGCTGACACACGCCAAGAACACAGACCCAGGCCCCAAACTCAAAGCCAGATTAAAACCCAGAATGCTACATCACAGCCACCCGCTCAGGATATCACATCAGAAAACCCAGGAAATTACACCACAAGAACTCAAGAAGTTGTAACACAGCAAATGACCCAGGATATCACAGCACAAGACCAAGGATACCACAGCAATAAATCTCACAAGGTCATCACACAACCCATTACCCAAGCCGTTACTACACAGGAGGCTAATGGAAAAGAGATCAAAACACAAACGACCCAGGAGATTACAACGCAGGACCCAGGATACCACAACAAAAGAACTCGCAAGCCCATCACACAACCCATTACCCAAGCTGTTAAAACACGAGAGGCTAATGGAAAAAAGATCACTACAAAACAAACAACCCAGGAGATTAAAACACAAGATCCAGGATAACTCCACAACAAAACTCACAAGGCCATTACACAGCCCATTATACCAACATCAACTCCATCAACCAATCAAGAGGCAGCAGCGAAGCCAACCAGCCCCCACCACCAGTATTTATAGTGAGATGGCAGCTCCGATCACACACTGCTTGCACTGGCACGAAGCCGAAAGCACCAGCCTGAGGATGGCGAGTTGGACCTCACCGAAACGTTGCCAAGATACTCTCAATCTTACATGGGAAAAGACCCGAACACACCTAGACCTACATATATATACACACATACACATACACATACACATACACATACACATACACATACACACACACACACACACACACACACACATATATATATATATATATATATATATATATATATATATATATATATATATATATATATTTGTTTTCTTAAGTTTTCGCGGGTACTTACATGTATGGTATTCAGCTTTGTTCGGGTATTTTCCCACGTCATTATAGTTGTGCTTTTAAAGTTGTAGCTACGTTTCGGCAGAATCTCATCTGCCATCATCAGGCTTCTATAGACGAACACAATACAGAAGCCTGATGATGGCAGTTGAGATTCTGCCGAAACGTTACTACAACTTTAAAAGCACAACTACAATGACGTGGGAAAATACCCGAACAAAGCTGAATACCATACATACCTATACCTATACATACATACATACATACATACATATATATATATATTACTGTAATTGCATTCAGCTATGATTAGTTCTTTGGTTTGTAGTTATCAATGGTGATATTTGAACATATGAATGGCTTATAAACTAACCCCTACATTTCAGTTTTCTGTAAAAAGACATTGTCAGACCTTGTAAAAATTCCTTATATCACCTCTTGCCGTTAGGTAATTGTGAATATAAATTCACCAAGACTATCATTAGCACTATAACTTGATACCATTTACAGTCAGCTGTGACTTTGCTGAGCCACTAATTACAGCCTCTTTCCTTTTTAGCCACTGTTGTTCTACTTGTGAAGTAAAGAAGCAAATTCCCCTCCTTCCAAAGGAAGTGAAGGCAAAATCCTAATCATGCCTCTTCTTCTGAAGGATCTCTTTAAATAGGTTATCACTAACAAGTCACAGCTGGAGTTACTGCAAGAACTGAGTGAAGACTGCAGGGCTAATAAAAAGAAATGATTCACGCCTCATTTATGTTCACTTATGTTTTACATTAATAGAAACCAATAATAGGAACCAGTTACCATAAAAGTCATGGACCATAAATAACACAAATGGCAAATAAGTATCATCTAGTACTTTTCACAGCTGGACAAGAGGATTGCTATATTTGAAAGTTGTTAATGGATTTTTACTGGAACTTTACTTTTTAAAGGCACAAACAGCATTCAGATTCCATTGACAATGTCAATAACTACAGTAGTTATGTATTGTGCAAGATTTCTTCTGCACCCCAATTAGTTTACTTCTAGATTCACTATGGAACCCCTTCAATACTTTTAAATGATTACAGAAGAAATTTAAAAGATGGGAGGGAGATGCAGAGTTTAGTTAGTGGTATAAAATAATACACATTTATTAAAATAGTTTGGAAAATTTGCATCTGAGAACAATCAGTAAAAAGAAAATTAACTGACTATCTGACTGTACTATATAGAATACAACATGAGAAACGTATTACAAAACAAAAGGGGCTTTTGGTTTTTCGTTTTATTTTTGTAGTTCAAAATCCATCCAATTCTCCTAACGTGACATTTCAGAATAAATAGTACAATTCACCACAGAAGCAAAGTTGTCATGGAACAGAGTGGCAATTCACAATCCATACAGTAATATTAAAGCTGCATGGATAATACCTGCACTTTTTAAGACAAATTACATAACAGAGATGTGACTGAAAAAAATCCTGAGATTACATTTATTTATAACACACATCTGGCAAAATATTCCTGTACTGAATCTTATTTCTATAAGCCATTTTGATAGTTGCCTGTTGACATTCAAATTATTCATCATAGGTTGACTTTTAGTTGACAATTATGAATATGTTGCTTATTTAACATTAGCAATGGCATACTGAAACGGGGACCTGGCTTAATCCTGAATTTCCCAGTGCTGAAACTGTAATCCATGGAGTTGAATCATTGGGTTATCCAATCTAATTGGAATATACTGGCCCTTCAAATGTTGAGGTATAAATTTGTTACTACTTTCTCCCTTGTACCTTTTTAACTAAAAATGCCAAGGGATGAATCTGAGACCATTATCTCAGAATCCATGGCTAGAGACCAGAAGAGGAAAACAATTTCCTACAATTGTTTTCACTGAACATTGTTGAGGTCATTAACTCTGGTACACTGTGGTTTTTATTTCCCCCCGAATCCCATCTATATTAAAAATTAGATTTGGCAAATACTGGAATTCATAATGCCACTTTTGTGGCCTTGACAAATTCAATGAAGTACAGAAGAATTCAGTGAAAGAGTATGAGAGATAACAACGAATAATGTTTTGGGAGTGCAGTGAAGGGAGGAAGTATATGGTTCAACAGTAAGAATATTAAGGCAAGAATGTGCCTTTTCTCCTTCATTATTTAATATAGAAAGATTGGTTGTCATGATGTATAAAGAATGCTAGTGGTGATGTTAGAAATTTCTCTATTGGGGACATACTTTTACATAGTGGATGCCATATTGAGAGCTGCAAATCAAACTGATTTGTAGCAAATGTCTGATAGAGTGTATGATTCAATATGGACGTGAAAATTAATGTATCAACTATGTAAAACTATGTGTTTGATAATAAAAATGGGTACATAATTTCAAAGCATACAAAATAGTGAAAAACAAGGGAAAGTCCATGAATTAAATACAGTAGTTCTTGCTTTACAACAATTGGGACCATATCACTTAGTGATGGCAATCCTAGTTGCCCATTCCCAGGACCATGTGGGTTGTTAAGCAGGAAGAGGCCCAGGCAAGGGGAA